ATTGCAAAGGTCCTCCAATCAGGTTTCTACTGGCCATCATTGTTTAAGGATGCCCACGAGTTTTGCAAAGCATGTGACAGACTGGTCCCCAAAACTGGACGAAGCGCTCTGGGCTTACTGAACAGCATTCAAGACACCTTTGGGAATATAGCCCTTCAAGATGGTATATGGAAAAGCCTGCCACCTACCAATTGAGCTAGAACACAATGCATACTGGGCAATCAAGAAACTAAACTTTGACGCGCAACTGGCTGGGGGAAAACGGTTGCTCAATCTGATCGAAATAAAAGAGTTTCGAGCACAAGCATATGAGAATGCCAAGATCTACAAAGAAAAAACCAAGAAGTGGCATGACAAAATGTTTTTGCCACGACATTTTCATGTGGGCCAGAAAGTGTACTGTTTAACTCTAGGCTCAAACTCTTCCCTGGTAAATTAAAATCTCAATGGTCGGGACCATTCGAAGTCCACCATGCTTACCCGTATGGCGTTGTTGATATTAAGAATATGGACGATGGGTCCATCTTTAAAGTCAATGGCCAGCACCTGAAGGTTTACCAAGGAGCTCCATCCATGCGTGACAAATATGCACTCCTCTTGCACGATATTGAAACTAGCCAAGAATCTTGAAGACGCCGTTACATTTTGGATTTACTCTTGTGCATAAATAAATGTTTATTTTGTTACTGTTTTTATTCAGTTTCCTTTTATTTTACTATTTTATTTTTCTTTGCAAGGTTATGGTCCATCCAAATTTCAACCGTACCAGCATAATATTCTGAACATTCTAACCCCACACAATTACAAAAGCGCACACGTCGCACGACTACCGCACCACCACAAGCATGAAGTCAAGGTACCTTGCATTGCATTGAATTTCAAAGCATATAGTTTAGATTTTTCCTTAGTTTTTATTTAGCATTGAGGACAATGCTGCTCTCAAGTTTGGGGAGGTAGGGTTCTTAAATCATTGCATGATAGTATTAGTAGAATGAATATGTCATGACATTGGTAAGTGGTTGAATTAGTTTTCTGGGATAAATTAAGGATGTCCGATGATGATGAATTCTTGATGGCTAGGATTGAATGTATATGACTGTTGAGGATGATAGAACCAACTCTAGGACTTGCTTCTTTGAAACTTTGAATACACGATTGTATGTTTTTCATGCTTAAAGAACTTAGAAATTTTTTATAAGAGAACTCTTGCATGACTTGACATAAACGATGAAAACCCAACTTTGTAAAAAAAATGAAGTAGTGAATAAATGCTTCGGCATATATGTAAAGGGACACTCCGCTATGCCATAGCATTTCCTGGAAACTACAAATAAATAAATGGCATCTATGATATGTGAGTGAATGAAAGTAGTCACGAGATGACTCTACCTTACTAGCTTAGGGGTGGAAGGTATGTTCTCTTTCACCTAGAGTGTGGGATGGTAGGTGTGATGGGCTGACTTTCCTCGTAGCAGTGTTAAAAAAAAGCAAAAAGGAAAAGAAAACAATGTGGAGTATAAATTGTAAATGTCGTGGCAAAACAAGAAAACTTGCGTAGAAAATTTTTAGGTTTGTTAAGCATGGACTGGATACAAACACGCACACACCCACACAAATAATCTTGCCCTAGGGGACAGTACTTGATTTCTCAAACTAGTCTAGCATGTTGAAGCCAAATATTCTGAGGGTTGAAATTCTATCCTATATAACTATTATGCTTCTGAACTTACCATGGTATTTTTATTTTGCTTAATACTATCCATTGCTTGAAGACAAGCAATAACTTAAGTTTGGGGGTGTGATAACTCCGTAAAAAAGTCATATTTGGGACATTTTCACTTAAGTTATTGACTGTCTAAAAGCTCATATAGGATCATATAGATGCATTTAGGAGCATATAGTTGCATGTGGTAGAATTTTGTTTGCCAAGGCATTTTTATTTTGTAATCAGTGCTGCTTTATGAGGAAAGTGTTTTGTTTGATGATGTGCAGGATTTGGGAGCAATGATAAGTAAAAGGGAATTGCCATGACATTATGAGACTACTGAGCAAAATGTGATTGCCGCGACAACTCGGACGGCATTTCTGGGCAGAAAAAGTCAAAGAAATATTTTTAGTAAGAGCCAACTGTCATGTCATAAAAAGTGATTTATGCAATCAGCCATAAAGAAGAGGTCAGTTTCCATCTTTGCACCGACCCTCACATAAAAGGAATGAACTTTAGGGTACTAATGTAATTTTAACACAAAATCCTAAGTTCATTCTCCCCTATAAATAGAAGATGAAGTCTGACCTTTTGAGGAGACTTTGGAGAATTTTAGACAGCCGCCAAGAGCCTAAAAATTTGGAAAAAAAGATCTCTTTTTTTTCTGTCAATCGTTTTTGCCTTGGCATTCCTCCGTTGACAAACTAGAGGGAGTGGCGAACTAGGCGTCCGAGAGGAGCTAAATCGTAGGAACAGTTCGTGTGGTCGAGGGAAGCTCTGGCAATGCACGTCGAAGACTTTTCCTCCTACCTTTGCTCTTTGCTTTCATATTTTATCTTTTGGGTTGTAAGGAATGGATTAACTTGCTTTGTGCTTGCTTATTTCGAACCCCACCATGAATTAATCCTATTTGGTGGGAGTTTATTTTGGATATTTAAGTTTTGCTTTAATGAATGGTTATTTTTCTATGTTATATTCTGTTTTGTTTATGAAGCTTAGCGCCTTAAGGTTGTAGGAACTACGAGAGTATCCGTTCCTTATGAGATTACTTATTGTTCGAGAGAATGTCTAGGTAACACATCCTTAGTGTTCGAGAGAAACTAGGAAGGAACCACATAAGCAAGGGGTTCTAGATAGTAACTAGGCTTAATCCACATTAGAGATAAGGCTAGGATTTCATTCGACTAAAAGGAGTTGTATATGAGCGATAGGTTAGATGTTAATGCTGCCGCAAAAGGTATTACCGAGACATATCCTGTTATCTGGACCAATAGGATCCCTGCAGTAGCTAACGTCAATCGGTTTTGCCAAGACATCTTCAATCTGTCGAGTTCCTTCCTAGAGATAGCATAGGGTACCCTTAGTAAACTCTGTCGGACAGAGAAGACATAGAAGTAAGACCATTCTGAGAAGTAGACTTAAATTTCCTAAATAACTCCTATCACGCATTCCCATAGTAGCTTGTCGTGTGAGGAGTCTAAAGTTCTTATAAGCAAATCCAATATTTACAATTTATTTTGACTTTACATTTTCATTTGATTGCACTCAACACAATTCAATTTGCCATAACATCACAATTTACTACCATATCACCATATGACAATTTCCACAACATCCATTCATTTTGCCACAATATTTTCATTTGAAAATAATATCATTAACTTTACTTAGGTGACATAATAAAGTGTTTTATTGAACTTATCAATTTTTTCCAATCCCTATGGAGACGATACTTACTCATCACTGTATTATTTGTTCGATTATGTATAATTACACATATTTCCGCACACATATATAGTACTCACAAATAACGAACAACATAGATTACTGAACTCAAATTCCACACGATTCAACTACAATTCTAGCTAAACTTCAAATCACATTCATACTACACAACCAAAGGACGTGATTTCAACAAAATTACATTAAAAAATTATAAAAAAGGAAAGAAGAATAAATTTCTAACCTGTAAAGCTCTTCAAAGCTAAGTCCACTGGCATTATGATTATAAATTTCATGAATCGCATGTTCTAGAATCTTCCACGTTTTCTCTGCATATTTCGGATCCACCACCACCCTGTGCTTAAACGCCTCTATTTGAAACGCTTTTTTCTTATTAGCACTCATTTCTCTTTCTTTTCTTTTCTTTTTTCAATTTTCTTTGTTGAAAACCAAAAATCAAGCTTCAAATTCAAAAACCCACCTCGAGTCCAACCCGATTAACCTTTGAAACCCGGAATTTGATATTAAAGTTCGATATTGACCTGGATTCAAACTAGCTTAAAACGCATGGGAAAAGGGGGCTGGTTAGGAGAATTGAATCACTGGCTTCTTGATATAAGAGGAAACAGAGATGGAATTTCTATGGGTTTTATGAAATGAAAGGTTTGATTTAGGGAATTTGAAGGTTAATGGAAGATATTGATGGGGAAGAGAGAGATCTGAATTGCTTATTTTAGCTTCCTGTGTGTTTTACTCATGCTCTTCATTTCCTTTTATCTATTTTACTCATATGGGTAAACTAGTAGTAAATTATATTAATGATCACTAAATTTTTAAATTATTTTTAATTTAATTCCTAAACAATAAGAAGAGTCTACCAAGACGACAGTAGTTTAACACATAAATCGAATATATCTCCTAAAATAATCAAAGCGTACAAACTAGTCACTTGAAAATACAATTGGATCATATAAGGAAAGTATTAAAATTCAATTAAATAATTTGAACAAATAATAAATACAAACCAATATCATTATCGACAGAAAAAGATAAACTCCATCAGCAAAAATATAGAAATACATGTAATAACGATGACACATTAACAAATTGATCTTACCATAATTCAATTGCGATTTATCTTTGATAATTACAAACATCTATTAATATCTAATCCGAATATCCAAAATAAGGATGAATTAACAAGATAACTTAATGAACGTAACCTTAATAAAAGAAAAGAAAATATGTACTACGAGAACAAACAAAAAAGTGTTATAAGAACGGACAAAATCATCCATCATATTATAATAATTCATCTAATTTCACATTTTATAGATGTCTACTCGAACCCATAACTTTAAAGAAGAACAATCTTTTTAATCGATTTTGTTTTTGTTTGAGGTAATATTCACCAGAACACTTGTCCCAATTCAAACAAGCGTTACATAACCAGCCAAAGAGACACAACAAACCATGACTCAACAGTTACAACTCTTACTTTCTAAACCTTCAAAAATTATCAGACAATTTCACCTCAAACATCTCATACTTCAGTTTTCTGTCTTCTCTTTCGATGGAGTACCATGATGTTTGTGACGTGAAATCGAAGCCGAGGATGTTAGACTACCTGATGAATGACCAAATTCCGAATGAAACCGACCTTTCACCTCAGCACTGTGATTTGCAGCGAGTTGTCAATACCATTAGGAACCTCGGGTTGCTTTCTGAATCATTCCCTCAAGAAACTAACAACTCGAAGATCGCCGAGGATTGGTCCGTTTCTGTTGATTCGTGGCTCGATCGGGTGCTTTCACTTGTGTCTAGTCCCAGGGTCAGTGTTGTTGTTTTTAAGGTTCTAGTTTCTTGCATATATGTTACATGGTTTCTTCTAGGAATCATTGTTCAATTCTGTCACAGTCGCGAAATCGTTGGACCGGAATATGTTTACTAGGGATGACTTGTCGAGAATGCAGCTCCGACCGGCTACTAGCATGGTATCCGGTCTGGTTCGGTAAACTCCTCGCAAATATCCAGGCATGAGCTCTCCTATAGGCTGCATATTTTACCTGTATCTTCATATGGTTATTGATTTTCTTGCATGACATGTGGTTCTTAGTGATTTTTGCAGCCGGCATCAGATTATATTTCTATCAAATTGGCCACTTTTGCTTCCTTATCGGATCTGTTAAAGAGGTGATTTCATCCTATGTTGCTCCAACTTTTCATTTTTTGAATAAACACCTATGTATCCGACACTCACAAGTCACAACCAAGTCCATGTAACACAGATTTCATCACTTTGAAACCGGTATTTTCTTGTTTCCTACTTCAGATTGGGTAAATATTCAGAAATCAAGAAAGATGTAACGGCGCATGCCGGGAAGCTAGTTCAACCGGTTTTGGACCTTCTGTTAGACAATGAATTCTCAGAGGTTGTAATGGTAAGTTCTAACTAATATTATTTACTGTTTTATTAGTCTTGACTTTATTGATTTTGAAAGCTACATTGATTGCCTAGTTGTGCAGGAAGGAGCACTTGCAGTGCTGTGTATCGTAATCGACTTCTTTCCGGCATCATTTCTTCCTCATTATGAAAAAGTTAGCTCGGTTTTATTGTTCCTCGCTTTCTCAGATTGTTTTTTAAGCTTGATTGTAATGCACATAATCGAAAGCCTTCATAGTCTGCTATTTCATGCTTTGCAGGCTGAAGCTGTCATTGTTTCGAAAATTATCTCAGGCCAATGCAGTTCTAATATAATGAAGGTGAATGGAGAGTTATTTCTATATAGATCAATATCTGCAATGCATGCAATTTCATATGAATCAAAATCTATATCGGTATATGAGCTCGTATCTGGTTTGATTTTCCATTTATAGAGCTACGCTTATTTCTTAGCATCACTTCCGAAATCGAAAGGTGACAAGGATAGCTGGTTTGTTATGATGCAAGATTTACTAACGTCAGTTGAAATTCACCTCAATGATGTCTTTCAATGCCTGGAACAAGGTAAAGCATTGAACTCTGTCTTGAAACTCTTTCCGCTACCGCTGTTTTGGAAGCGATCTGACATGTTTGCAAACGATAAACATAACGTATTTATATCGATTCATCATTGTTTAGTACCAGAAAGAGAAGCAAATCTAAAAGCAAGAAAGTCAAAGCAATTGTTGACATGCATAATCCCCACACTAATGCTTTGCTGCAGCACAATGCTAACAAATTCTTATCCAGTTCAGGTAATCCAACACTAATCAATCGATGCTTTTAAAGGACAACTTTTTCTCGTACTTCGATCACGTATGAAGTAAAAGATCATAGTTGTTGTCGGACAGGTGACTGTACCAGTTCATCAATTATTAACTCTTGTAAAGAGAGTGCTAATGGTGAATGGCTCATTTGCTCAAGCTTCATTGAAGTCCATGGAAATCATGCAGGAAGGGTATGTTTGCATTGAGCTTCCTGCTTTGCAGTCATTTGGTTTAGATCTCCTATCCGCAATCATCAAAGGAACATCCAGGTATGTCACTCGGACTTGGGTCCGAGTGTCAGGTATAGATATATCTCCGACAGAAATATTTGCTTCCGGTTATCGATAATAATGTTCTGGTTCTGTATTAAAATGTTGCAGCCAACTATTGCCTCATGCTGGATATATCATTAGGCTACTTAAAGATTGCTTGAAACAATGTGGATTGCCAATGCTAAGAGCAAAACTTTACTTCATCATAAGGACTTTGCTTATATCTATGGGTATCGGTATGCAACAAACTTCACTAAGTCATAAGCGTCGAAAATGGATCGATGCATGAATTAATGGAAGTTTGATCCTATGCAGGAGCAGCCTTGCAAATTGCAGAAGAACTCACCATTACTGCATATTCGATTTAGATGCCTCTTGGTATCTCAATAGGCAGAAAGTATCCGATCAAGATGTAAAGTCTGCAACAGCTGAAGTACCGATGCAGCCTGCTGACAAGAAAAGGAAGCATGCTGCAATCAATTCCTCGCAGGAGAGTCGAGATCTAGACTATTCGGATCTGCAAAACAAATCCTCAACCTCCTCTTTATCATTGAAGATTGCTGCATTAAAGGCATTACAAACTCTCCTCACTATGGTATATCACTTCTCTTTGAATGGTCCAGCTTTGGTACTTCAAATGAATCAAGCAAAAGAGTAATTAATGATTACGCTGCAGGGTGGCGTGTTAAGATCAGATTTACGACCAAGTGTCGATGATCTGCTGATGAATGTTGCGGAAAATGCTTATGATGGGAAATGGAGAAATGACGAAGAGAGTGAAGTAATGTCATCTGATGGACATCATGCTGATTTCTTGCTTGCAGCATTGCATGCTCTTCTGGCATCTCTACTTTCCCAACCTTCAGTTAGCCAACATCATCTGGTTAAAGGACTCGAGATGTTCCGTAAAGGTTACACTAACTAACAATCTTAAATAATCTTTTCTTGTGCTTCAAGGAACAAAAGGAAGTTACTAAATTTCGATCTGATTCGCAGGCAAACAAGAAGCAGGAACAAAGATTGCAGATTTTTGTGGTCTTGCAGTTTTGGTATTAGAAAAGCTCATAAATTCGAGGAATGTTTCGAATGGTGACATTCCATCAACCAGCCATGGCTGTTCTATCGAGGACCTTGAGCCTAATGAAAGCCAAATTCCCAAGTCATTTCCTGCAGATCAAGATGAGAGTCTATTTAATTATCTACTTAATGGTTACAATGAAAGTGAAGCTACATTAAGCAACCCTGAAGATCAGCAAAGAGAGGCATTCCTCGTCGACATCGAGATCGAACGAAACTCGGATGAAATCGTAAACAAGGAGCAATTCCAGGGTCCATTTTCAGTGGCAGAAGTGAAGCCTTTCAAGAGAATTTAGCAAGGTTGGTTTATAATTAGCTTCACAATCAGATGTAAACCAGTTAAATCATAAATGTATTTGCAGATTATGTTTTTGTGATTATCTTTTTCAAGTACGATTTCAATCCATCACGTCAATGAATATAAACCACAAAAACATTATATGTAGGAGTATAAATAAATATAACGTTCAATGAATTGTTTCGTAAACCGTACGTGTAACATTCATTTATTAAGTTAAATAAATGAGTATGAATATAATTTTTATGTTCATTTCATAAACGAAAAGACACGAATAGAAGTGTATTCAGTTCGTTTATGTTCACGAGCAATCTCATTTTAAAGTTCTTTTATTGGCTCGTTTATCGAATCATTTATCATGTTTTTTTTTACATTTTATATATTGGTGAAGATAGAGACTAAATTGAATACATGATAAACTTTAGAATTCAAATTGAAAAAATTAAGGAAATTAAGGACTAGTGAGATAATTTCATCATTTTTCTGAACATATAAATCAACATGTTCGTGTGCTAAACAAACATGTTGACGAGCACATAAAGGAACATGTTATTGAACGTTAGATGAACCGAACATAAAATACCTTAAAAAATAAAAATTGAACACGACTGTAATATTAAAAATTTAAAAATACAAACTGCCTTAAAAAAAACAAACGCTAACATTATTTTATTCATTCAAATTCGATTTATTTAACCCCTACTTGTTTAAGACTAAATGTTTTGATAAGCCCATGCAAACTAAGGCCAATAAAGGCCCAAAAAGAAGGAAAAAAAGAGGGAACATTAGGGTTCAGCATTTCTCTGTATCTATAAAAGGATTACTCCCTCAGCCTCCTTCACTTCCCCCGGTTTGTCTTTTTAGCTTTCTCTCCTCCGAAGTGAAGACGCCGCCTCCATGGTTCACGTCAGTTTCTACCGCAACTGTAAGCTAAACCTATTCTCTACTTTTCTTCCCTCTCTCTTTTGCATCTGTTTTTAACATAAACCGGTTGCTTAGTTTCAGTTTGTATCATAACAATGAAATCTTATCGATTTTCCAGTTTGATTGTTGTTGGTCTCTCATAAATGGGTGTTCTTGATGAATATAATTGACTTAATAATGGGAAAGCTTCCAACTCTCGGCTCTCGAGTTTGAATATTGGGAATGATGGGGTGGGTTTATGAGTGGGAGCGTGTTGCAGCTTGTTTGTACCATTAGCATCATTGTTTGATTAAATGTAATTTATAGAATCATAAATGTGTAATTTTCTTGTTTAGAGCAATGAGTTTTGGTTCTTTTGTTGATTAGACTAAAAAGAATTAAATATCAATTAGCTTTATGGTTGTTTTGGCTTCATTTGATATAAGGTTAAATTGTGTTATTTTGTTAAAAGTTATTTATATATTGGTGAAATTGATGCAATGTTGTAGATGGGAAGACATTTAAGAAGCCAAGACGTCCGTACGAGAAGGAACGTTTGGATGCTGAGTTGAGGCTTGTAGGAGAGTATGGTCTCCGATGTAAGAGGGAGTTGTGGAGGGTTCAGTATGCCTTGAGCCGTATCAGAAATGCTGCTAGGGAACTTCTCACTCTTGATGAGAAGAACCCTCGTCGTATTTTCGAAGGTGAAGCACTTCTGCGTAGGATGAACAGGTATGGGCTTTTGGATGAGAGCCAGAACAAGCTCGATTATGTCTTGGCTTTGACTGTTGAGAACTTCCTTGAACGCCGCCTGCAGACCCTTGTGTTCAAGTCTGGTATGGCAAAGTCGATTCATCATGCTCGTGTGTTGATCAGGCAAAGGCATATCAGGTAAAGATTTACTTTTTTTTTGGGTCAATGGAAACCATAGATTTAATGTATTTAAACTTGAGTTTGGAAGTCTTGCTTTAGTTGTTACCATGTGTGCAGAACATCTTTTGTTACGAGTTTATGAATGATGAATGTTTAAAAAGTATGTTTAGGAGTTCACATGTAATAAAATTACATCATCAGCTAAAATACTACTTCATGTTAGAGATTTATGTCTTCATGATTTAATCTTGAGATCATTCTTTCTTTTTGAAGAATTATGGGATCTACTGCCTCTAGTGTTGTTAAAAATCACTTGGCCAATTGCTGATGTGCCATTGTGTCTTCTGGTTTCCAAGTTGTGTGATTTATCGTATTCTGCTTTGCCTAGTTGAATATGTATGTGGCTCGACCGATTCTTTGGTTGTCCGAATGATATCCTGAATTTTGTATCCTGATGTGTTTGGCCTTTACCTTAATAGGGTTGGGAGGCAGGTGGTTAACATCCCATCCTTCATGGTGAGGGTTGACTCCCAGAAACATATCGACTTCTCTTTGACAAGTCCGTTTGGAGGTGGCCGCCCCGGAAGAGTGAAGAGGAAGAACCAGAGAGCAGCTGCCAAGAAGGCTGCTGGTGGAGATGGCGATGAAGAGGAAGATGAGTAAACCATGTGCTTCTGCCACCATTAGGACACCCTTAAAAATGCCCTTGCTTTTAAAACTTAACATTTCCTCCGTTGTTAGACATGGTTTGTGTTCTGTTTCAGGACCTTTAATGTAGTGGATGTTTGTATTTGTGGTCTTGGATTTGATGTTAAATTGAGCAATTTTTTTGTTTTGAGATTAAGATATGGTCCACCCATTTTGAGCAATGTCGTGCATTTTTTATTAACCCTAAATGTCAATGAAGTGGGCAATCTGCGAGGTTGATGAGTAGATTATCAAAACCTAATTAATAATGTGCCGAGTAAATTCAAGATTCACTAATTATTAATCATACATATGTTCATTAGTACTTGAATGAATATTTTTGTTATTGCTCTTTCTTGTTTCATTTTCTTTCTAGAAGAGGAATGTTAGTCGAGTTTAGTGTACAAATTTGGAAGCATTGTGTTAATTTTGTTGGGCGACGTCTATTTTACGATGACTAATTTTGTTGGGCGATGTCTATTTTAGATCACATTAGTCAAGATGAAATCATTTTTAAGACAATAATTTTTACCCCCAGATAACTGATTTATTTTCTACACTTATTTATATATCTATTTATTTATTATATTCGTTATTATTAATATTTTCTTTAACTACGGTTAGTTTACCAACACAAAGTAATTCCACCTTTTGGTTAGTAGGTAATTATTCATAGATTTTTTGTTGGCTTCCATAAGTGTAATTATTATGTTAGTTTAAGCATTTAAGTGAGAACATAAGATATAATAATAATGATGTCTGTGCTTAAACTTTGAAAAGCAACATTGAAACCACCTCTTGTCGCATTGCTTCCTTTCATGAAAAATGACTTGATTTAGGAAGGTTAAATTAGTGAAAATTAATGAGTGAGATTAATTCTTTGTTTTTCTTTTTCAGTAAATATCTTATCAATTTTTACTTTTAATTTTAACTATTTATTTTCATTCATCCAACGGTCCTAAATATATATAAAATTAAAAGAATTTTACACAATCTAATTGGATTCTTCTCATATATATTGTATATAATCATATTCTTTGTAAAACCAAACTTATCATCCATCAAACCATAAGAGTAATGGAAGATAAAACAAAAACAAAAATCCCTTAGAGCAAAACATGTAACCCTTTGCTTGTTCTCTTGGATGTCAACAATATCCCGGAACAACTCAGATGCAAAGACAGAAATGCTTATAATATATATATTCTTACAATACTTGAAGCAATATAAGTGTAGTGAAATGCAAGAATAAAAATTGCAGTGATTATTGTTGAAGTTGTCTAAGAATGTTTGCATTACTGCTGCTTTCGGCCTCCGATGAATTCAGTAACTCCGATATCCGATTGCTTAAATCATCCACCTCTCCATTAAGCTTCTTAATGTGATTGCATGTTTCATCCAGAAGCTGAATTTCAATATATATACAGATTTCAACAACCATAACCATAAATGGAAAATGCAGGAGAAAAGTGAAAACTAAGTGCATGGACTGACGTAAGATTTTACGAGAATTTAAAAATTTCAGTCCCCTCGATCCATCCCTGTGTGTGGGGGTTTGTGGACTGTTCTTACCTTAGCTTCATTTCTTTTCTTCTTCTTGTTAGTTGATGAAAGCTCTCTAACTCTGAGGCTAAAATCTTCATTTCCATTGCTCCTGCTGCCATTTGATCTTTTGCTAGACATGGGGAAAAAATGAGAGTTTTGATGTTTGGGTATTGATTTTGCAGTTGTTTAATGGTGATTGATTTATATAGAAGTAATAGTAGTAATTAGCCATTTTTACGTGTCATAATCATGTTTAAGAAACCATTCGACATCGGAGAGGAATTATAGGGACTTTTTTGGTTGTGTTGGAGACGATAACATGATTAAGATGCGTATGCTATTGACTAAATGATGGAAATTGAAATCCAATCTCCAACCCTATGGCCATTGGTCAATAAGCTATTGATAGGGTTTTATGTGAAATAATCACCAACCTCTTGGTCGGTAATTAAAAAAATTACTTAATTTGCCACATCTATAATCTCGTGACCACTTGATTATGGGTGGATTCTAATATGATCATTGCTCTTTTAATTTTGTCAAGCATACCGCTTAACTATTTAAATGAAATCAATTAAGTCACTTACCGTTCACATTTGATGGAGAAGCTGACATGACAGTTAATAAACTTGATATAATTACATATTTGATCTTTATTACTTACACATGTCACTAGTGACATGTATCACGACATATGTCACGATCATATTAGAATCCAACCATAATTAAGTGTTCACAGGTGTAGTTTATCCTATAATAATACATGAATGTACCTCAACTTGTACATATTGGCTTAGGGTTTGACAATTTAACATCTATGATCCTTTCTCTTATCCCATGTTGCAAACATGGATTTGTGGCTTTGGGAAGAATGTAGGCAATAATAATGAGTTTTGAATCTTGAAATTTGGTAGGAAGAATCTTGGATGAGCAAGGGCTTGGAAGAAGGGATAGATCGAAGGAGGGGGTAGAGTCGTAGAGACGGTCGACTCCTCTAAATATTTTAGATATATTGTTTTTGTATTTTTTAGTGATGATATGTTTTTGCCTCCTAAAATTTTATAAGTTTGTCTCTTCCAAAATTTCATAAATTTACTTCCTTCTTGATATAAAATCTTACGTCCGTCTCTTCTCGGAAGTATAAAGCTAAAGCATGAAATATGATAATGTTGTCTCGCATGAGCTTCATCATTCTCCGATTGTTTCCTTGTTTTTTGCCTCAACTTTTCGAGGCCCATGAATTAGTAAATAAATAAAAGGGAAATTGTGAATCTGCAAGTTCAAGCAACATCAATACCAACTTTTCATTAAACTTCTGTTTCAAGAATCCACATCAAGTAGAACAAAAGCACTTTCACCAAACATAAAACAAAACTTACACTGAAACTTGTTTTATATATAAATAGTCATTGCCATTGCCATATTCCACAGACAGATAGCCGACACCAGATTCAAATGACAAAGCTTGAGAGTAGGGATAGATCGAGGAAGTGTGGGGGCTATCACATTATTTAAAAATTTCAAATTTCTATATAGTTTATTTATTTTCTGTTAATATCTAATTTTTCATCTTTGAAATTTTGTAATTTGAAAAATTCTTATCTATTCAAGAATAGAAGCATGACGAACCTTTAAGATCAAATATGAATAGTAATAGTAGTCTACTTTAATTTAGGCTTAATAAAAAAAAATGTTCAAACTATACCCTTTTTCTTAAGTGGTGTCTAAACTATTTTTTGTCAATCTAGGTGTGTAATGTTATAAATGTTACTAATTTAGGTATCTCGTCCCCATTAAAAAAGTTTGTTAAGTGACATATTCTAGTAATTTTTATTTTTTTTAAAAAAGCAAAAAAACTTAGAAATATTATTATATTTAAAAAATTATATTTTTTTTCTAAATTTACCAAAAAAAATCCAATCCCTAACCCTAACCTTACCTCTCTTGCTAGTCACGAACGTTGACGTTGACATCGTCCTTGTCATCTCCCTTGTTTGTCGTCGTCAGCCTTGTCGTCGATATGACCGTCAGAGTTGTTGTATGTCATGAATAGTGTGGGTGTCATGATTTTCAAACTGTCGAGATTTGTCGGGTTCTGGGTGGTCGGAATCATCTTATCGTCGGCTGAAGGTTTGATCAGGTGGTGGTCCGGTGGCAAAAGTGGCGGCTGAAATTGGTATAGGATTGAAATTAGGGTTTTCAAAGTTTTTGGGGGTTTTAAGATTTTTGAAAAGTTTGGGCTTTTATTTAATAAAAAATATTTTTAAGTTTTTAATTTTAAATTAATTTTTCAAAATTATATAAACGCGATACGTGTCACTTAATGGAATATTTTAACGGCCGTTACGACCAATACACCTAAAATGGTAACGTTTGTAACGTCAGACACTTGAATTGACCGAAAAAAGTTTGGGCACCATTAACAAGTAGTTATGCAATTCATTGTCCAACACCATATCTATTTAGACTGATAACCTACGAGTAGTTATCATAACCCTACACACTTGATAATTAATTGCATAACTCACTCTATCTTTAGAACAAATAAATCATATATAAATGTTCTAACCAACAAATAGCCTCTTGATGTGAAATGAAAGCACACCAAACTGCTAACAAAAGGGATTTAGAAAGTAATTTACCCTAAAATGTTTTAGGACGGGAAGGGCACGTCCTCTACACTTTTCATTACCCAAATGCCCACACTCTAATGTTAGTGGGTTTGGGTCGAAAATCAATGTTCTCAAAGGCACTACTCACTATTGCTATTCCTCTTAGTGCCTTGAATATTTAGGTCGAGCTACAATGGATATGATATAAAAAAAGTAAATTATACCATTAAAAAATTAATATAATTGTTGGCGTGATATTTTTTTCAATGATGATGTGGCTTTAGTTTATGGTGATATGTCAATATCATTGTTAATTTTGTAACAACGGATGACCAAAATGAAACTAAACTAAACGTTAGGTATAATTTAAAAAAATAATAGTTGATTGGCCAAAACGAAACAAAAGTGATAGTTGAATATTAAAAATGTAGTTTATCCTAAAAAATATTCTTATAACATTATAAATTGTCATTTAGAAAAGAGATATTTTAATCTTTCCATAAATGAATTGGTATTTGGTTACTTGGTGACATTATACAATCAAGTACTTTACTAATAATATAGGTAGTTAAGATAATAAATTTATTGAGTGACATCGATAATAAAAAAGAGTGTTATTTTCCTTAAAAGTATTCGAGTTCGAGTAAGGGACGAAACCAATTTTTTCCTTAAAAGATTAATCTTGAATTTTAATCTTTTACGAGAATCAAAATATAAATTTACTATTGTATTGGTTTATACTTTGCAACTTTTATAAACATCAAAATTGCACGCTTTTGTTTAGGGGAAGAGCATCCTTAAGACTAGTGGGCCGTGTCTCTCCCAAAAAAAAATAAAATATATATAGAGAGAGATATATATAATATATATATTAAAATATTACATTTGGTTCTCTCAAGAGACGTGTATAATAAATTATTAAATTTGATTGCCTAAGAGATCTATTAATTAGTTAAGTAGTCAATAATACTCATATTGTCTCACCTTGTGTGGGTTCAAATCTTGATATTTGTGTTATAAATATAATACATATTTACGTAATAAAAAAATTGACTGCCTAAAAAATATGTATATACCTTTAGAATTTAGAAATCAATTAAATATTATTTATCAAAAACAAATAATATCCATTTTCTTTTGTCGATTTTTATTTTAAAATACAAAAAATTATGTATTTTTTCATCTTTGGTTGTTCATCTTCTTTGAATTGTTCATCTTTTTTAAGTTGACGACTTCAATAAAATTATAAAGTATTTCATCTCAGTTGAAGATAATTTTTTTTAAAATATTTTTAATTCAATAAATATTTATGATTTTATTATATATATATATATTATGTGGGTTCATGAATTTTAATCTTTTAAAAAATCTACACATACACACACACATATATGCACACACACACAAATTGAGGGAGAATAAGGAGTTCAACAGGAAAAAAGTCGAAAGTAAGTGTACCATCCTCTTACTTTGCTATTGATGCAACTGTAAAAATTATCACCCAAATTTCTAGAACTATAAGTAATGTTGCATGCCCAAAATTATTGACATGAATGAAACATGGATGAGAATGAAATTTCAAAACAAAGAGACAAATACATTTTAATGATGGTATATTATGAGACATGGTGGATATATGTGCTATATACTTAGATTAGAGACATGTTATACTTTGTTTTAAGCATATTATATGATACTTTATGAGGTATTTAATGCATTTTGACATGATCATAATAAATTAGGACTAAAAAATTAAATAGTTAAAGATAAGGTTGATTGAACATTGCTGTTGAAATCCAATACAACTTATAGGTAAATATATAATTATCATTTGGGAGATATAGCTTGGGAATATTCTAGATTAATATAGAAAGAGTATATTTCTAGATATATCCATAAAATAATCTAGATATTTGTATTATTTAATACTATGTCTAGAATTATCTATTAGAATAATTTAGATATTTATAATGTTAAATGGTTAAGATGTTAACATGTGTCAACAATCCAATGACTATTAAAATCTATAAATATGAGTGAGTTTAAATTATAATAAGAGTGAAAGAGAGAGAAAAGAGTGTACTTATACTAGTTCCCCCCTAAATTTAGATTTTTAAAATATTAAAATTATAATTTAAGTTCTTAAAATTTCAAAAAAAAAATTACCCTCTCAAATTTTTTAAAAATTCATATTAAACTTTAAATTTTTTTAATGTTCTGTTTAATGTGTAATTGTCTTCTTTCATTAAAATGTTTTAAGTCTGGTTTGTTTTAATATTAATGATTTATTAAAGATCTATATTGAACAATCAATTGATAGAAAGAAAATCAAAATAATTATGATTATTGAAGATCATTCGTTGGAGTTGGTTATTGCAAATCCAGAAATGGTTGCAATTGGTTTAAAGTCAGTGTCAACATTGTTTTTTCACCCGGGTGGAAAAAAAAACTAGGACGACTTAAGGTTTTTTCTTTGAAAAGAGTTTGAAACGTTGGGAGTCACTACCAATCATTTTAAGGTGAAAT